CATCCTGGTGGCTTGCGCTGTTTGAAATCCAAATGGTTGAGGATACAGTTATGACAGCGTAAATTAATGGGACAGATCTAGAAGATTACCTTTTGATGAACCTCTCAGCTCGAAGTTTGAATCCTGGAGCTGAGCAATTTGGTCCCTCAATTCCTTCTCTGTCTTTTTGGCAAGCTCCTTGGCCTCGTGTAGCTGGTCCCTGACTGCTTCAAGAGTTCCCAAATGAGGAACCAGCTTTTCTAAAGTTGCGGTCTTGGCCTCATTGCGAAGATGGATTCTCTGCATAATGGTTCATGGTTTAGTTCTGCTAAAGAGAAAACAAAGTCAACAAAGGCAGTCACCCGGAAGATTTACATTCACAATGCGAGTGGCTTCTCCAAGTGCCTTCTTCAGCCGGCACACTTCCTCATCTTCTTTTTGACGATTTATGACGATGCCGGCAGCTTGTGAGTTCTCGTCCCACCATTTGAGCAAGATAGGAGGACGAGAGTCATCAGCCGCCTTTATGCGAGGAATTTCTTTTTCGTCATCGCCTGGTGGTCCTGATGTATTTCCAAGATATTAGACGAATAAGCTGAAGTTATTTAAATCGGCATCACTTGAGAAGATGAGTTACTTGAGGATGTTCCTAGCTGAGCGTGGGGTGATCCTTGTTCTTTATCTGGAGACCCAATCATCGAGTCGTTACCAGCCTCTGGTCCTTGAGAAGTTGTCGTCTGCGCTTCAACTTCGGGAGTTTCTTGATCTGGACCTACATCCGACTGGTTTCCAGTCGGGGGCTCTTGGGTTGTTGTAGTTTCAGTTGCTGCCGACTGGTTTCCAGTCGGAGGCTGGTCACTCGGATTGGTCTTATCACCTGAAGTATAGGCGCCAGTCGGCTGGCTTTCGGCAGTCGGCTCAGAATCCTTGGATGAATTTGGTTCCGTCACAGTCGGATCAGGATCTTTTCCAGTTGGATCTATGTCGGATGGTTTCCTGCAAAGTGTTCTTTCAATATTCAATATTATTTTCATGAGAGAAGCATGTCGAAGTGAAATGGTACCAAGAGGTTTATACCTGGAAGATGTTCTGATCTTTGGCCTTGGACGACTAGCCAGTTTTTTCCTGGGAGTGGTATGCTTTGGGAGTTTATTGGGCGAGCCTTTGTCCCCAGATTTGTTGCCGTCGTCGCCTTCGTCGTCATTAAGCACCAGCTTTCTCTTGCGAGAACCTGTCTGCCCAGTCGAATTGGAGGTTTGAGGTTGCGGATCTGATCTGATTGTCGGCCCTCCACCTCCCTGAACGGTGTGCTGGCAAGGAGATCGGCGCTGAGTGATTGGGGGGTCAGACTTCATCAATACATATTCCTGAATGAGATGCCTCCACGGTAGTTAACTCAACATGAAGACAAGATTATGTTTTGGTCATGGGTTGAAGATTTCGGATACGTACCTGTGGAGGCGGATTGAATGCGTTATATGGCACAACTGGCAGCTGATGTGAGTAGCTGACGACAATAGCATTTGAGAAGATTTTATACATTCTCTCCTTCATGATTTTAAAATCCAGAGAGTCTGGTTCTTCACGATTAGGATCATGCTTGCCGTCAAACTCGAATGCCGTACGGGATCTTTCTTTAATTGGTGCCAATCGGCATTTGATGAAATGCCGAGTAATCTGCTCTCCTTGTAAGCCTTGTTCTTTGAGTTTTAGCATGCGATCCATCAACTCCAAGGCTTGGGCAGCTTCATCCCCGATCGGAAGAGAGTTCCAAGTATCTTGGTACATCGGAGGAAGACAAGAGTACTCGGGAAGAGCAGGCTCAGGATTCTGAATATAAAACCAGTTTGCGTGCCACCCTTTGTTTGAGGTCTTGAAGGGCATAGAGAAGTACTTCTGGCTCAGAGTCCCCCTCAGCTGAAATCCGGCCCCTCCGACTACACATGGCTTACTCTTGTTTGGTTGGGGCTTGAGAAAGAAGATTCGGCGAAACAGAGCGAAGTGGGGCTTAATTCCCAAGAAGGCTTCACAAACATGGACGAAATTGGCGATGTGAACTATGGAATTTGGGTTTAGGTGATGCAAGCTGATTCCATAGAAGCTTAATATCCCGCGGAAAAATTTTGAGGTCGGAAGAGCGAAGCCGCCATAGAAGAAATGGGAGAAGACCACAGCCTCGTGTGTATCGGGGGTCGGAAAAGCCTCACCGCACGCTGGCCGCCACCCGATGATTTCCTTGGCAGGGAGAACGCCGTGCGCCACCATCTCCTTCAGGTTCTCCTCCGTCACGTCGGATGGCGCCCATTGGCCTTCAAAGTTTTCCTTCTCTTCCGCCATTGATTTTTTCCGAATGCGTTGATTTGATTCGAGGGATGGCTAGGGAGAGGTGAGGGATTGAGGCAGTGGATCACGGGAAGGATTTTGATGAACTTTTCGAAGGTGGATTCGAGTGGAATGGTGAACCCTAGTTTGCCGGTGCAGCTCTGTACTGTAGCAGGGAGTGGGGAAAATGGCGAGAGTTCCGGCGGGGAAGATGAAGTGTCGCTTGGATCTTGGGATTTCTTGTTAAGGGTATCGGAGGTGCAAATGGGCTTAGGCCTGAACAGTACCTCAGCCCAGTACTTTTGACAGCGTGGCCCATTGTGCTCCTTAGGGACTTAGGCATTTTTTGCTTTGGCAATTTATGCGCACAATAGTGTTGCCCAATGCTGATAAAATCCTTTTTACGCGGTCATATAATTCTTTGGAATTATTGCAATGCAAATTAAAAGGTGCCCGACAGAAAGGTGTTATGCTGTTTTTGTAAGCTTTTTTAGGCTACAAAAGCTGTCTGGGTTAACTTAGAATGACTTGTTTTTACCATAGTCATTTCCTTGGTATGTTATATGCCTGTTTTCATTATGGTAAATAGTCAAAGCCTAGGCTATTAGACTTATTCATTACCATAATTTTTATAATTTTTGGTGGGTAATCTTTAGAGTTTTCTATTCGGATGCCCGTCAAGTGTGTTCATTCGTGAACCTTTTAGAGTGCTAACCACTCGGATTCCTTTTATTATGGCTAAAAAGCAGTCGGCTAGAATGCCTCTTTAGGCGCCGCGTATGCTTTTGTCATATGATGCACGATTGTGCTATTATTTTGTTCTCAACTATATGTTTAGTTTGTTAACTAATCACATAGTTGGGAGCTACACCTAATTAGGTGCATCTATTCGATGCACTATATTCTTTATCTTTTCGCCCTTTACAGTCTTTGTCTTCGTTACTCGGCAGATCTTGGCATGAAAGGTTTGAAGCACTCGGATTATTATCTTTGAGAAGGCTATGATGGTTGACTGCAAAGGTCTCGGGGGCTACTGTGGAGATTATGGATATCCCATATCTACACGACGATGGTATTTGGACTGAATACAGGATACCAAATATAGATAGAATATCTTATTTGTGTCTCGGGTTTGTTTCTCAACTTGTACATCAAGGAAATACCTTGAGACTTAGTCGGTTACGACTGTATTTTATCTGTATCTGCATATTTCGTTAGGGATATAGATTATCTTTTGTAACACGGACTCCTTCCCATATATAAGGGGGGTCCGGGTGCCTCTAGGGGTACACATGTTGATTTTCTCCAAATCATACAATCAATAAGACACTCGGCGGATTCATCCCCGGACAGGAGTAGGGTATTACTTCTTGAATAAGAAGGCCTGAACCTGTATAAATCCTTTGTCTCCAAACCCATACACTTCTCCAGCTTGATAGCCACCCCCTTTTTATTATTGCCGAAATCTAGTTTCGACAGAAATTTTTTTATAATTCGTATTTTTATTGTTGTTAGATGATAAAACATGATTAATATTTTGTGCGTGACTTCTCTTTTTAATTTTTTTCATTATTGTTTTAAATAAGACGGACAGTCAAACATTGGGCACGGAAACCAGAGTTTGTCTTTTTTTGGGACGGAGGGAGTATATATAATGGATTGCCTGCATGTGTGTACTAAAATTTTGTAAGGCCTGGTTTAGTTCCCAACTTTTTCTTCAAACTTCTAACTTTTCCATCACATCAAAATCTTCCTGTATACACAAACTTCCAACTTTTCTGTCACATCGTTCCAATTACAAATAAACTTCCAATTTTGGTGTGAACTAAACATACCTTAAGATCAAATCTAGCTTTCATTTGTGTGACCATATGTGTGTCATATGCCGGATGAGAGCAAATTCTTTTGCGTGTTGCACTGGCGAGAGCAGGCAGAATTGTTTGTGCACACGGGATCAACAATAACTAGCATCATATCCACACCTGCTGCGGGAGGACGGCAGCGCCTACTTCGGCATGCTATCGCTCGGCGCTTCTGCAAGCGCCCACTTCACTCTCTCTCCTATTTTCTTTCTCCTCCATGTAGGAGTATGCTGATGTGGAGCTTCTTATCGCCAACCTAATTAGCTCTATTATACTTGCTCTTAGCTTAAGAAATGGTAATATTTAGTATCTTTCAGAGGCATGTTAGGTTCTCTTTCTGTAATTAATTCGTTATTAGTCGCGTGCTCCGCGAGGAGAAAACCCAACCAACGGGATGATGACAGACAGTAAGGAGTAAGGATAGAAGATAAATATGTAGATTAAGCGTTTTAGGTAAAATAAGGTGGTATTAATATATTATTACTTGAGTTTTAATTATTATAAACTTAAAAATAGATTAATTTGATATTTTAGAGCAACTTTCATATAGAAAGTTTTTGCACGGAACGTACTGTTTAGCACTTTGAAAAAGCGTGCCACGAGAATCTAAAATTTTATCCAATTTTTGTTGGAGAAAATAACGGTGCGTATAGTGCCGATTTCTTATTGTTTGGGTGATAAAAAAATAGAAAAACAAATTTTAAATTGTGTACTCGAATTTTTTCTTCTTGCTCAGATTTTTACACCCAGTACTAATAGGCAAACACAATGTTAGAAGTTCCAGATAAAAATGTAAGGATGGAGCCTCTACAATTAATCTATAATTTTGCAAAAAAAAAAAAAGAAGAGAAAGTGTTAAATTTGTGATACTATCATACAATGGCTTCAATCTCTTTTTTACCGGGATGACCAAAGAAAGGACATCCAATGGCATTAAGAGAGAGGGAATAAACGGTTACAAGAAAATTTTTCATCGACAGTTGGCTATCGAGGAAGGGTATACACCAGAGTGCACACCCGAAACCATGCGAATGGCCTCAATCTCAGGTTTCGTGATAATTTTACCAATGTACCTATTGACGACTTCCAACTCTGAAAATTGGTAGATACATGATGATATGCCACTAAAACAGAATTGTTCTTGCAGGAGAGCATACAGGATGGTGTTCAGAGTAGTAGCACCCATCACTCAAAGCTGAGCATGGAAGGCTGTGGAGACAGAACCATCATCCACCTTGATGACAGCATTGTTCTTCAAGAAGTCCGAGTACCATCTAGCAGAGCGCCTGGGCTGCCTTGTCAGTTCTTCGCTGCCAAAATCGACGGCAACAATGCCGAAATGCGCCTTGTAATCGCCAAACATCTCGTACTGATCCATGAATGACCACACGCAGTATCCCTTCACGTTGGCGCCATTCCTGCGATCGATCGGTCAGTCATTCAAACCAATAAGATCCAAGAGTGAGATCTTGTGATTTTTCAGTAGAAAACTCTTAAGAACCTGATGGATCGCAGCGTGGCTGCAATGTATTGTGTCAAGCAGTCAATCCTCCCCACATCATCCAGGGTTGCATTTGATCCACTACCTGATACAATGCCAAGTAAAATTGATGACAGAATGTGAGTTGGAAGTTGTATTTCAGAACTCTTATTTATTTATTTACTTTTGTAAAAAGAGATCCTTAAAGTTAACATTGGAGACTAATTGAGTGCTACAAGTAGGACTACTGACCGTTTTCCTGGATATAAAACAGCAAATTTCCATACTTTTCCTGAAGATATTCAAGCGCGAGCTCTAGCCCCCGAGGATCTAATGAGGTCCCTGGTAGAAACTGCCTCAAGAGTAACAAGCAAAACCATGTTACAGTCTGCAGATGTTATGAAAAGTTCAATATATTCAGTTCAGAGACAGTGTTGTCGTTTATCACCTCTCGAGTAGGTGTGCTATTCTTGCTGGCTGACAAAAAAAAAAGCACACATGAATAAAATGATTGAGCTTCATAAAATTTTAAGAACGTATGAATAATGAAAAGCATATCAGTATGAAATTTCCTACCCCAGAACAAAGAAGAAATATCGTCAGTGACATCCTGTAGCGGCGCCTTTACTGCGTTACTATTATCGCTCACATAATTTGAGGTATAATGATTCAACCCAATGAAGTCGAACGCATTAGTAACCAGCTCAGATTCGTAGTCAGAGAATAATGGAAGACGGGAACCGGCGGCCTTCTTCATGGTCTCTGGGTAATCTCCAAACACCAAAGGATGCAAGATCCTGCAATTTGGTTGCATTTAGTTGTGTCAGGATTCAGAGTCTACTAGGAACCTATGTTTTCAAAAGAAAAACTCAAAGCATGGACAGCAGAGTTCGCTGTAGTGGCTGGTATAACAAGCTTACAACCAAAGCTAGGAACCAACTCTCTCCGTCCCATAAAAAACCCAATTCTAGGTTTAAATATGGACAAGTCCCATAAAAAACCCAATCCTAAGTTTGAATCTGGGGGATCAGGGTTTTTATGGGACGGAAGAAGTATTTGTTTCACTCTTGCTATAGTAAATACTTCAGAAATATGATATAACATGACATACCATCCATACATGAAATCCTTTACTCTTTCAGTGGCAGCAATATCTTCAGTTGACTCTGTGAGTGGGTAGAACCACATGGAGTATATGTTCATGCCGACAACGCCCTTCTGTGCAGCCTGAAACAATGAAACCAAAAACAGAGAAATAAAAATCATTTTTCTTGCTTAATGGAGCGATACGCAGATCTCCTACATGTTCGAAAAAAAAATCATTTTCTTGACTTCATAAGAATAATTAAGAATATACAGTATACAGGGCCATTCAAGAAAATATTCAGAAGAAGAAAATTGCTAATGATAATGCACACTCACTTGGTGCTTTTCCCTGTAAAGTCTAACAGCTGAAGCATGAGCTAGCAGGGTGTGGTGTATGAACAAGTATGGCTCAACCGTGGAATTTCCTAGTGTGCAGTTGCTTCTGCCAAACGGATACGAGCAACGATTTGGCGGGAGATACCCATCGTCATAGCCAGATTGAGCCATGACATTTGGCTCAATGGAAGTTGTCCAATGCGCGACTCTGTCACCGAACTCGCGGAAGCACACATCAGCGTATGCTGCGAAGTCATCCCTGCAACACATTTGCAAGGAAGGTGAAGCCTGTGAGGATAAAAGTTTCTAATGGTTATTGTCATTCAAGATAATCTTATCAGCATGGAGTGAAAGGGAAATTACTGCTTAATGCTTACACAACTTTGGGGCTAACCCATCCACCGTACTCATCTTGAAGGCTCTGTGGAAGATCTATATGGTACAGAACAGCATGAATCTGAATACCTATTCATGAATCAGGAGCAGAAAGCCTAATCTCAGACTCAGGGGTCACCAGTCATGCATTATTGTTGTTAAGAAGATATTTGGTTAGTAACAACTAATGCGAAGTTAAGAGTGATGTGCATTAATGAATACAATTGTTTTTTTTTCAGAATTTGGATAGGTCAAAATGATAGGATAATCAAGATATACTAACCTGCTTTTACTAGCTCATTTATCATACTATTGTAAAACTGCAAGCCTTTTGGATTAACCGCTCCTCTCCCACCTAGTTTGATCCAAACTTAAAATCAGAACATGCATCATGCATTTTTTCTAGAAAATGGGATAAACCCAGCCTCTACATCCAATCAGAACATGCATCATGCATGTGTGGAGAAGAAAACATCTTCATTAATGATAAATTGATAAATATCAATATGTAGGTGATATGTAGTTGTCCTACTCGGAATGAGCCTCGACCAAGAAATGGTGAACCTATAAGCCTCCAGGCCTGTCTCATTCATTAGCATTACATCTTCCTACATAGATCAGCCCACAATGAATTAACAGAGATGAAAAGAAAATTTCTCAGAACAATGCAAGATCATGGCTGATTAATCTGATATTTGATGGTTTTATCTCTAATCCAAACATCATACCTTGTACTTGTGATAGCCATCACATGCCACATCACCTGTTTCTCCTCCCGGATTCCTCCCTGATGCAGCAGATCACAGGTCAAATTGGCACAGACAGGTAAAAAGAACAAGAACAACCATATATTTGAAAACACATTTTTTCCCCGCCAACTTAAAGTGCAGAGGTTAAAAGCTAGGCCGTTATAGTTTATCATGTACAGCTCTCTCAAACAAACTTAGCAATAATGCTCCGTTGTGCTTTGTGTGCCTTTGACATAGCGACTGGTTTATCCATTATCTGAAGAGAAAGATCAAACTTATTTGAGCTATCAAGGAAAAAAAATGTGAATTTCCCCACTCTCAGATGAACCCAGTGAACTCCAAACTAGAATAGCAAACAACCATTACTATTGTGACATTGTGTGCAAAAAAATTGGTCTCCTGTTGCAACAAGTAATTAGGAAGCAATTAGGAATCAAGCCAATCCAAGTTGAGAGGGAGAGAGGGAGTACAGTACATGAGTGAGCGTAGGTGTCCCAGATGCTTGGTGTCCTCCCATCCTCTGCAGCTGCACCCTCATACTGAAAAATCCAAAACCAAACCATGCAAATTCAATTCATGCCCTGAATTGAATCTGCAGGTAGGAGCAGAGCAACCAGTAGCAGGAAAAGATCAAGCTGACAAAAAAAAAAAGAGATTTGGAGAGAAAGAGACATCCCTCTAAACATTTTCAAAAGGAAATTATGAGCATTTGGGAATTGAACACAGGATCTCGGGGTTGAAACCACACAGCCCTTAGCACTACAATATCAAGTGCATCTTAAGATCAAGCTGACAGAACTCAGAATACCTGGAAAGCCGCAGTCCCGGCTCCAAACGTGAATCCGTCAGGGAAATCGTCTCGCGTGAACTGCAGCGACCTCACGCCTTGAACAACAAGAAGCAGCAGCAGCAGAAGCCATGGCGAGAAGAAGAGGAGCAGCGGATGCAGAGGACGCCTGGTCTCCATTGCGTCCTCTCCAGATGCACAGCCACACATCAGCAGCTTCTTCTTCTTCTTTCTCCTCTTTTCGCTTGCTATCGTTCCTTCCTCTCCAATAATTCACTAGCCTCGATCGTGTCGTTTTGGTCGGTCAATAGGATGATCCGGCAACCAAAAAGATGAATTTTGTTTTCTATTTTACTCGATCGAATGTTTTTGTTCTCAGCTGCATATGCGTCTCGATTCGTGTGGGTGCTGTACCAATCGTGGCAAGAAGATGATTGCATCGACTAACAAGAGGCCAACGTTTAAAGGGAGTACAACCCAGTATGAACCATCCAATGTTACAAAAGCATTTTTGTTGAATTTTGCGTGGACAGATCTTGTCGATCTCATCAGTCGAATTGCGAGCCACAGGATACTCGCCAGGAGATTCGTGCTGGCCTGGTCGTTGTCCTGTCCTTTTTTGGCTTCTTATCAGTGTGTCTGCCCGTCTCTGGTACTCGACTTGCTACGTAATCATCGTATTCGTGAATACTCTCTCCATACTCATAACAGAAGTCGTTTTAGAACAATGTTTAAGTCAAACCTTGGGAATATAAATTATGAATAACTCTTAAGTTGTTGAGTTTGAAAATATAAAAATTATATGTATAAATTTATCTTGAAAAATACTTTCATAAAAGTATACATATATCATTTTTCAATAAATATTTTTATAGAAATAAGAAGTCAAAATTATGTTTTGGAGACCGTGTCGCTGTCCTAAACGATTTGTATGGAGGGAGTATGCCTTTTCATTTTTCAATCCATTTTCGTCCATACACCTATTTGATCGGAATCATCGGATGCCCGGTAGCGATTTTTCTAGACACAGTTCCATAAATATACTTTCTTCATGCTAAAATATAAAGCTCCCATCGGTTCGCTTTTTTAATCAAAAATGACACAGCTTATTAACAATCAAAAAATAATTTGGATAAAACTTTTATATACACATTCATAGCGATTTAAAAGAAAAGGTCGTAAAATAAACTACAATGAAAAACCACAAAATCAACTTCAAAATTAAGTTTCAAAATTCAAATTTTAGTTTAAAAACGGTGGAAGAAGCGAAACAATGGGAGCCTAAGACAACCACCCTAAACACAAAGACGAAAAGAATTTAATCACCTCGTCTCATTGGTTAGATCACCTAGATACATGCAAGTGGTGGGGTTTGATGATAGAGGACTTACATGTGCTAGTTAATGTATGTATGCATGCACTCCTTTATATTATGAAATATGATGAAAAGATAATTATGCCTTACATTTCAAGATATGAGTACATTGTAATTGGAAAATAAATCTGCATCACCTTTATATCTCACGGGGTAAAATAATGTTCAAAAATAATTTATTGAAAGCCCGTCGCAAGTTACAACAGAAAACTTTACTATAGCACAAACAATATTGTGTCTCATCGTTATAGTTTTCACATATCAGCAATAGGAACATCGAAATATTTGTGGAATAAAACGGAACATGGTTTTTCCGGGATTGCCTGCCTCGTCTAGTGCGCATGGCCGGCATTATATTGCAACAACCATGCAGCATACAGGCCTCCACTCGGCACGGTCTACGCCAGGGTCGCGTCGCCTCACCTCGCCAAAATGATAATCCTTGAGTTGGAAAAATAACAGAACATTGGAGCCACGGAAGCAACAAATTTCAAACTTGACATGTATAATGCATTTAATGTTATACAGACAAAATAATTCAGGTAAATCTAATCAGTCAAATTGACATTCCAATCGAACTACACCGAGATTACAAGTGCCTAACTAAATCAAATCACACATTAATTATTCAAAACAAGACCAGATTCCCAACTCATCGTACTCTTGTAACTAAATATTTTCGAAACTCAAGGATGAAATAAAAAAAAAATGAAGCCGCAGCCTTAAAAATATGTACGGTCCCAACAAAGAAAATCGGCATTCTTTGTACAGGATACAATAATTAATGTGCAATAAGATCATATCTACAATAAACTGACACATTCTGGCTCACGAGAAAAGCTTATTGGCTAAAATTTGACACGAGCATTCGGTTTATACAAAATCCTGACTGTAAAACTCCATAAATGAATGCTGAAGAAATATTAAACAAATCAGAGCTTACAAGCAAATACTGGAGAAGTACCTATCAAGATACACATCACACTTGAAGGCAAAACAAAATGGCAAGGAAATGCAGTAAAACCTGAAGGGTAAATAAAGTCCTAGCATGCTAATAGTGCTAAATTTAAAGCAATCCCAAGTTTCCAGCTAGAAAGAAACTCGCCTTTCAAAATTTTGCGTAAACAACAAGAGAAGTAGAGCAGAAAGTGGCTAGAGTTCGAGTGAAACAGGCCAAATATTTGAAACTGCAGATTCTTTGGTCCAAATCTCTGAGAGGGAGAGGGAGAGAGAAATCGAGAGGGCAAGAAGATATCAAGAACCAAACAAGCAAACATATGACAACTATATGCTATGTTGATTGAACATTATACGCAAGGCAAAAGAAGCAGAAATTCACAAACCCAGCTAATATATAAACAGCACAGTTGAAATGAAAAGTAAGCTTGTTTTCTACTTCACTTCATCTTCTATATTTCTATGGTGAATCCAGTCATGCAGATAAGGAAGAGAACATATGCACATGCCTTTCCATACTGAAATAAACTGTACAGTTGAAATGAAAAGTAAGCTTCTTTTCTATTTCTACAGTAAAATTTAGCCATGACAGATCATGAAGAGAACATATGAATAGGCCATTTGCCCATTTCATACCGAAATTTGGATCGAATCTGGAAGCAGCAATTCACAAGGCTGTACAGCAAATCACCGTTGTAACAAATCCAATCTTAACTAACTTCCAACAGTGCAAATACTTACAGAGGAGAATAGATAAGCAATGCCTTGTACTGGAATTGCCAAACAATAATTGCAGGCAAGTGTAAACTTCTTAATAATTATGGCATTTCAGCTACAGTAGAGAATATTCAGGGAATATTTAAATACAGGCACTGGCTATGATGAAAAGCAAAACCTGGTGTTTCCTGTGATTTCCCATTTGTAGTTTCACTTACACTGAAAAACTAAGAGGGATGTCTGCAAACGTGAAGAAAACAAAGTAGTTGCATTTCCATCAGTAATTCAGAAAGGAAATGGCAATATTTTAAAGTAACAAAATCAGAACTTAGATGTTACCCAATATGTGCACAATTCAGATGTTATCTGAATCCATATTCTAAGGCTGTGTTCGGTAGTAAGGGATGGGAACTAATCTCTCCCGCACATAAAAACGGAGCGGTCCATTAGCACGTAATTAATTAAGTATTAGCTTTTTTTTTCGAAAAATGGATCAATATGATTTTTTTAAGTAACTTTCGTATAGAAATTTTTTTTCAAAAAATACACCGTTTAACAGTTTGAAAAGCGTGCGCGCGGAAAAAGAGGGGAGTGGGTTCCCAACTCCTTTTGCCGAACACAGCCTAAATGTTTCTCTGTTTCATAAATGCATCCACAATTACCCCCAAAAAATCACTAAAATTTCCATTGAAAAGCATAAGAGGCAAAGGATTTCAAGCATAAGTAATACATTTTCATCAGTACATATATTCACTCAATCCTGAAACATATTAAGAGCAATGGAATTCAGTTACAACATAAGAGCAGAGGCATTCAGGCACAGATCATCACTAAACCTGAAGCATAAAGAAATAGTTGCATTTTCATCTGTACATAGTATGATATCAACTGCTGATTCTGACTATCCATGGTCAGTACTCAGAAATAAATGGAAGGACGCAGCATGTATTTGCTTGTATTAGTTTCAGGGGTGCGGTTTTTGTGTGTGTGGAACAGTTACAAAAAGGTTGGCAAGATTCAGTAAGAATTCCACATGTAAGAGTAAGAAAGTCATTAATGACAAAAGGAAATGTATCTTTTTGCATACCGTTGAAGTTTACTGGAGCAGTGAGTAAATAGAGAGCATAACTAATCCAAGCAACAAAAAAAGAATCCCACACGTGAGAAATACATACAAGCATACCAGCATGGCCTTTCTTTCAGGAAAATAGAGAGAGGAAAAAGGTCAAAGTTGACAAGCACAAAATATTCTAGCAATATGATTACTGAGTTGACCAATTGGTGACTAAACCATCACAAACGTATAATCAGTGTTAACATAGTTGAATGACTAACTCAATATTTTTCCCTGGTCCAAAAGATTTCATTTCCGAAAAATAGTCCCAAACCAAATGCTATTGAACTAGCTGATGCTTGAGGAACCTGCATTTCAAACATATAGCAGTAGTTAGCCATGTTATGCCCCAGCAAAACTCAGCAAGATTTAATATGCTCTAGTAGTAGAAGAGTTTGAGACATTTCGATGGCCAAATAAGCTGTAACAAGTGTAAAGGAGCAAAACTGATGCAACATGAAGTGGCTCTACAGTAGTATGAACTCCATAAATGACTACTCCCTCCGTCCCAAAATATAGCAACCTATTGGATTAGACACAACCTAGTAGGTCTAATCCAGTACTAGGTTCCTATATTTTGGGACGGAGGGAGTATGCAATTAGGATCACCAAACAAATGAACAGAAGCAACTCAAAACTTATTAGAAGCATACATGCTTGTCTTGAAGCATCACACAAGACTTTAACCATCTTAGTTGTTATATTGACCACATGTGACAGTAATAAATTGAGCTTCTTTTAAAGGCTATATATTCTTACTTCTTTACTTTTCAGTTGAGTATGAACAGAGCAAAGCCAATGATTAATAAATATGCTGAACTGACACTATTAAAATATGATGTGTGTGCAACTGAGTTCACCTGAGTTGCTCTTATTGAGTATGCATCATGGAGATATCCTTCATCTTACACGTGCATAAGCATGAGGCACCACTTGCTGATTTACATCTTCTTGATCTTCAGACAATCCATAGCCTCTTTGGTTCCAGGCAGCACCATGTGAGGGTTGGCTTGGGGAAGCCCCATATTCAGGCGGTGCCCCTTGATTTCCAAACCCTACTTGTCCTCGACGAGCGTTAAAACTGTTCTGACCTTGCAGAGCATGATTTCCAGGAGCCTGAGCATCAAATCCCTGCTGTCGAGGCTGTGTGTGAAATCTTGGCTCACCCTGGGGAGACCCAAAACGATTATGCTGATCTACTGCTTGACCATACTCTGGTCTGTTCTGATAGTGAAAACCAGGTAATGGTGGTGGTGCTTGAGGAGCACCAAACTGTGCCTGCGGTGGCTGAGTGGAGCCAACAGCATGCTGCGATGACTGAGGTCCACCATAACTAGGCTGTTGCACTTGTGGAGCATTGAACCCTGTATGCCATGGATGAGATGTGCCATACCCAGGCTGCTGAGTCTGAGGAGCACTATGCATTGGTTGTGGTGGTTGAGGGTGACCAAAACCAGGCTGCATCGGTGGACCCGAGCTATAATCAGTTTGTTGCACTTGACCAATGCCAACTGATTGTTGCCATGGACGAGGAGAACCCATCCCATGGTGTGTTCCTTGAGTTGCATGAACTCCAGAATGCTGCCATGTATTGGGAGTACTGACATTTGGAGGTTGAGTCATGGAGACAACCCCAGGTTGTCGTGGATCAGGGGCGCTAGGTCCATGCTGCAACGGGCGGCCACCAAACTCTGATTTATCAACTTGAGGGCCTCCAAACACAGGTTGCTGAGGTCTCAAAGGCATCCCCTGAGGCTGTATCGCTTGGGATCCACCAACGCCAGGATGAAGTGGTTGAGAACCATATGTCGGTTGGCCTTGGTGAGGCATGTAGCTACCCCGTGTCTGATTGGATGCAAATCCTGGCAGCCCCTGAGGTGAATTGCGAGGGCGATACTCTGGCCTTGGCTGAGGAGGCAATGGCACTGGTTTCTCTTCAAAAGCTTTCTCAATCTCTTCCTGCCGGCCAGCGTTCTTAAAAATGTCAATAACAGAATCCCGGAACTCAGGAGGAGGAGTGACACCGCCTTTTGCCATGTCACTCACCAACTCCCGTGCTTTATCCAAGTCCCCTTCCTTACACAATGCATTAACCAGGGTCTCAAAGGTGGTTGTGTTTGGCTTGATCTCCTTGTCAGGCATCCTTCCATATACCTTCAAGGCATCATCCATCCGGCCAGCTTCTGTAAGCCCTTCAAACATCCGATTGAAGAAACCAATATTGAACTTCGGGCCATGCTCCCTTCCGTCTGCCATCTTATAGAAATACTGAATTGTATCATCCACGCGGCCCACCTTGAAGCATGAATCAACCAGGTAAGTGTAGGTGTACACGTCTGGAAGCACCGACTTGGTTTCCATTTCCTCAAAAAGCTTCTCTGCCTCTTCAAGCATTCCATTCTCACAAAGCTTCCCGATGATGTTGTTGAAGCAGCCAACGTCCATCTGGACGTTCTTCCTGGGCTGCCGGTGGAACACCTCAATTGCCTCATGGAATTTGCACTTCTTGAAGCACTGATTGACCATGACATTGTAGGACTCGCTGTTGATGCCAATGAAGCTCGGCGGGGTGTGGTTGTCGATCATGGTCTCCCAGAGGTCATTCGCCTCCTTGTCCTTATCATGCTTGAAGAGCGTCTCAAGCAGCACATTGCAGGTGGCGGGGGTCATCCTGAACTTCTTGTCCAATAGCGACTGGTAATTCTCCATGGCCTCCTTGTCCATTCCTTTCTTCCAGTACCCCTCCATGAAGGAGGTGTGCACGACACCATCGTAGACCAAGCACCTCCCCTGGAGCTCCTCAAAGAGCTCGAATGCCTTGTCCCAGTTATCTTCCTCGATGTAACCGGCGATGAGATTATTGTACACGAGGGAGTCGGCGCCCTGGCCGCGGTTGAGCATCTCGCGCAGGAGATCGAGGGCGTCCTGGATGCGGCCGGCGGCGACGAGGCCCTTGGTGAGGTGGCGGTAGGTGACGGCGGAGGGCGAGAAGGGGGCCTTGTCGAGCATCTCGCGGTACACCTGCAGCGCGGAGTCGACGCGGGCGGCCTCGCAGTGGGCGAGGATGAGGGTGTTGTAGGAGACGACGTTGGGGACGATGTTGGATCGGCGGAAGAAGAAGTCGAAGAGGGAGACGGCGTCGTCGTGGCGCCCCGCGCGGACCATGGACGCCGCCACGGCGTTGCAGGTGAAGACGGTGGGGCGGACGCGGGAGGTGACCGCGGCGCGTGCAGCGACGGAGGCGCCGTCGAGGTCGCCGGATCGGATGAGGGACTGGACGCGGTTATGGAGGCTGAGGCGCGGGCCGACGAGCGCGGAGGTGGTGTCCGGGAGGCGCGGTGCGTTGGGGTCGCGCGGCGGGGGCGGGGCGGAAGGGTCGCGGCGGAGCGCGTGGAGCGGCGGCTCGATGCGGAGCCTCCGCTTGCGCCTCCGCCGCTCGGCCGCGGCCTCCTCGGCGGAGGAGAAGGCGAAGCCACGGGCGTGGGGTGCGAGCGGCGCGTGGGGAGGGAGGAGGTGGTGCGTGGCGGAAGCGGCGGCGGCGGGGGAGGCGGTGGAGGAGGAGGAGGAGGAGAGGGAGGGGTGCGGGTGGAGGGTGGAGAGGCGGCGGAGGAGGAGGAGACGGCGGTAGAGCGCCATGGCGTCGCGGTGGGGGGCGGCGGCGGCGGGAGACGAAGTTTGTGGCGGTGGTGAGGGAGGCGGCGGCGATCTTCAACAAGAGGAAGAAAAAGAAAAAACCCTCTTATTCTGTAGCTAGGGTTTAGTGGGTGTTACTGTATGAATGTATGATCCATTTTCCATCTCCCGGTGTGAGCCTCCTCTATATCGGCCAGCAACGATTCGTTGGGCCGTCAAGTTGGGCCAGTGCTACAGTTTCCTACTCCCTCTGTACAAAACAAAAACAAAAAAAGGAAAACGTACACCCAAGGTCCCTCAACTTGTCATTGTGTTACAAAATCATCCCCCAACCGCAAAACCAGATACCGGACGTCCTCAACTAACAAAACCAGATCCTTCGGTGGTTTTTGACCCCGGTTTTATCCTAGTGGCGGCTGAGGCAGCGTGAGCCCCATATGTTAGTGTGAACACATCATCCTCCTCTCTCTTTTCCTCTCTTCTCTCCCCTCCTCATCTCTCTCTCCATTCTCTTGTACGCCGGCCGAGCAAGGCAGGAGAGGCGTCAGGCGTCTGCAGCCGGCGATGGGCGACACGACAGCGATGATGGCGGTGACAGGCGACGCGGCAGCAGTGGGAGGAGCCGTTGCGGGAGGGCGGCGAGGGAGGGGCGGTGTGCTGGCGGCGGGGGAAGGAGCGGCACGCGGGCTCCCCCACCGGCCGCCGCCCATGAGGCCCACAACGCGGCGGCTGGGGAAGGAGCTGCGGGCGGGCGGCGGGGGAGGAGCGGCGGGCGGCCGACGGAGGAGCAGCGCGCGGGCGGCGGGAAAGGAGGAAGGCGCGCCAACCACACGCCGACACCAACGACCACCATGCCCGCCGCCACCTCCATCGCCTCCACCACTACCGCCTACTGGCTCGCGCGAGCACCCGGCAATCGTCTCCTTCCGGTGGAGCCTCACGGGGCTGTGGTTCTCCACCTGGGCCTTCCTCCTCGGCTTCCTCGCCTCCAACATCGCGCTCTTCCTCACCCTCCTGCGCGTCGCCGGAGGCCGCTCCCACTAGGGCCCATGCCCGCGGCACACGCGCTCCTGATGGCCACCGTCTCCTCCGTCATCTTCGCTGGCATGCTGCTCTCTACGCTCACCGAGATACGTGACACACGGTGGTCGTGGCGCGGCTGGAGCCGCACCACGCCGTTCCGCTGGCTCCTCTGCTTCCCGCCGGGGACACGCTCCTCCGGCTACATCTTCTTCTAGTCCTACGCACACTACCTCTCCCGCTAACTCCACGCCGCACGGGGGATCTTCATCGTGCTGCGGCGCCGCTGTGGCGGCGCCGCGAGGGTGTTCGCGCATGCGGCCTCCGTCGCCATGGCCTTCCTCTGGCGACGGCGGAGACGGAGACGGCCGCTCCCCATCCGCAGCCGCGCTCAGTTGCCGCCGCTGCCACCGCCTCTCCGCCACCGCGCGACGGGGGCGGCGACAGGAGGAGCGGGCGTCGTGGCAAGCGAGCGCGCGGGAAGAAGCTGGGCGGCGGCTGCGCCGGCCCCGTGCTCAGCACAACATCCTCCTCGTCGCCATCCTCCGTGCTCATCCGCGCATCGGCCTCGCGTGTGCAACACCGAGGACTATGGGCGCCACCGCGCCCGGGCAACTTCATCGCGGGCGTGGACGCAGCTAGTTGTAGCCGGGGAAGAGCCACCTAGTGTCGAAGCAGCGACACCGACATCCTCCCTTCTCCTCCGTCGCCGCCCCCGTTGCCTCCGCCGACGGCTGCGGCCACCAGTGCGACGCCGCCCTCCTTTCCCGCCTCGCCCCAGCGACCTCCTCCCCACCTTCCAGCCACCCTGCAGAGAGGAGAAAAGTGAGATAGAGATAGAGGAGGAAGAGAGAAAAGAGGGGAGGGAGATGAGCTGGCATTCTGAATTACGAAAGACTAGGCAAAAACTACAATTACAACGGCACTCCAACTAACCTAAGCTACCATGATGACGAAACACAGGATAGCCAAGCCCAAAACTCAGCAAACGCCGTTCATATGAACAAGTAAAAGGTTGAAAGAAAACAAGACCCCCACACATTGGCAAAGACGTGACGTTATCGATATCACACCACAAGACCGGGCTACTCCGACTTCGCCAAGAAACACTAGGGCAACGACGGCAACCTAGCCTGCGTCAAAGCACAACTCAACAAGGCTCATGTCATCGTTGGTATACATCATGCATTCATGCTTGCTGACACCGTAGCTCTGACTTCATTAGCATCAGTCTCGTTCATACATGGTCGAGCCAGACTGACATGCCTCGCTGATAAAAAAGGCTTGCTACTCCACTCTAGAGTGAAACGCGGCTGATGATGTCCAACTCGGGTCATCGTTACCAAGCTCACAAACACGCAGCAACTTTGACTTTCCAAGAAAACAATAGTAAAAATCTGCCTAGAACCAAAAATAGCTTCGACTCACCGTGGCCACCTTCGGGTTCGCCGCATCGAGCTGCACCCTGGTTGCCCCTCCACTGTCGCCAACCACCACCGGAACCCCATCCTCTTCGCGTGAGGTGAGCACCACCCATGGTGAGCAATTAAAGAGAGGGCTAACAGGGTGGTAAAAATTACATTTATTACCGATAAAAGTTTGTCGAGATTTCTTCAAGAAAAAAGAGATATAACGAACAATCAATTAAAAATAGAAAATGTCTTACTTTAATTTTAATTTGTTTCGTTAGAACTATTTTCGAAACAAACTATTTTCTAGTTGTTTTTATTGTCTATAAAATGACATGATAGTACTATAGTAGGTATTTCGTGGACAGAGATAGCAAGTACAAGACACTTAGCTCGTACTGCCGCTAATTAACATGCCATTTAAGTCATTATTAGTAGTGAAACGGTAATTAACCCATGAACACTCCATAGAAAAGCCCCGCAAAAAAGAAAAAAAAATACTCCTTAGAAAAAGGTGTAGAGGTGACGGGCTTTCCTACCAAAACTTAGCCCTACGGCCCTACCAATGTTTTGGTAGTTAAAATAGTACTTGTGCTTGGTTTGGATCGAAACCAATTTATTGATAATACCCATGCTAGATTTGATATCAATTTATGTTAGCTTTATATAGCAAATCAAATATAATCTTACCCTATAAAAAAAGTTGATAGTGCCAAAATTTACATACTCAAGTTTTGGCACTGTTAAAGAATCTATCTATTATATTATATTATTAAAGGAATAGAAAAATGAGCCTCCACGTTCGCTCTCATGGCCTAGAAATTCTCACATTAATCGGAGAAAAAGAAAAAGCAGAGTCCATATAGAAATACAATTTAGAAATAGCTGAAATTCGGAATTAAAAAATAAGGAATATTAGAAGAGGAGACTAGAGTCCATATAGAAATACAATTTAGAAATAGTTGAAATTTGTAATTTAAAAATAAGGAATATTAGAAGAGGAGACTAGAGTCCATATAGAAATACAGTTAGGAAATAACTGAAATTCGGAATTAAAAATAAGGAATATTAGAAGTAGAGTATAGAGCCCATATAGAAATACAATTAGGAAAATAACAGAAATTCGGAATTAAAAATAAGAAATATTAGAAATAGAGTATAGAGTCCATATAGAAATACAATTAAGAAAAAAAAATAGAAATTCGGAATTAAAAAATAAGGAATATTAAAAGTAGAGTATAGAGTCCATATAGGAATTTAAAACTAACTAAAATTCGAAATAAACATAATAAAATAAGAATTAGAGTTTTGAGTCCATATAAAAATACAATTTACAAATAACTAAAATTCGAAATTAAGAAAAACATGGAAAGAAGAGTTTAAAGTCAATATAGGAATACAATTTAGAAGTAACTGAAATTAAAAATTAAAAATTAAAGAATATTGAGAATTGAGAGATGAGTTTAGAGTCCACATAGAAATACAATTAGAAATAATAAAAATTCAGAAATAAAAATAAATAATATTGGAAGAAGAGCCTAGAGTCTATATAGAAATACAATTTACAGAAAATTCGGAATAAAAAAAAAGCAAAATTAAACCATATAGGAATATATATAATTTACAAATAACTAAATTTTAATATTAAAAATAATTAATAACTAACGCGTATATAAAATAGAATATGAATATTACGTTTCGTTAAGTTATTGCAAAATTTAAAATTATGATGTTATTCTAATATATTTGAATAATATAAGGAGAAAACATAAGAAAATATAGACTGCGCGGGCCAACATGCTATTTGGTCGACTGTCAGCATTTTGCCCTTGACGCTCATGCATCCCAGCCGTCCACGTCCCGGAGGAATAACACACCCTCCAGCCTTCTCCTCCTCAATCCACCGACGCCGCCGCCGCCGCCGGCTACTTCTCCGGCTACTCCCCATCGCATGTTCCGATAGTCCAAGAGCGGCGGCAACGACGGCTGGCTTCTCCAGCGAATCCATTCAGCTCCGGCTGGCCTCGACCTGACCCTGCCCCCGGCGGCATCCTCGACCGGATCCGTCTAGCGGCGACCTCCGCAATGGCGGCGGCGGCTCGCTGCCCCGGTGACCATCGCGGGGGTGGGCTTCTCCCACGACGACGGCGGCCGCGGCAGCAGCAGCACACAGCGAGCAGCCGGAGCCGGGCAACCTGCCGCCATTGTCAAGGCCGACAGGTAATAAACAGGTATGCGCAGCCTGGTTACAGTATTTTACGCCCTTCTGAATTTTGCTGCGAAAGTAACTGAGATTATCGATGATATGAACATGTACATCACTAGAGAATATTGCGGGTCCCGTGATTAGCGACATTGCTGTGTGCAACGTTTGTTCCTTTTAGGTATTATTACGTTCCTTTCATGTATCTTTGGACGCTGTCGATTAGTCCAGTGACTCCTATCCCAATTCCTCTTGCCACACACCACTTATCCGCTGCAGCAACCTCGCAATCCCCTCGGCGCTCGCTGGTTCCAGCCAAGCTGCTTCCGTCCTCCTTCACTTCATCTGTGCAACAGGGTAAAGCTTCCAGATCTTGCTTTGCTGTTTTTTTTTATTAGTTCATATCCATCTTATTCTACTACAAAAATACTTGATCTGTCTCCGGTGCCGTTCACTGATTTCGTTTTTTCTTTGTTGTTGTTTCTCGATGATTTTAGGTTATTCATCCGGCCCTGGTGGTTTTGCCGTCTGCAAACACCTGTCTTCCATTCGCATTTCAGAAGAAAAAGAAACACACACACAAAAAAACTACTCGTCAGAGTTTTCTTCCTAATTTCCCATCCAAAACCAGTAGTTTTCATTGAAAACAAAATCATTTGTTGTTGTACTGTCCCCGTATTTTGTTCGTAGCAATTCCCATCCAAAAAACAAAATCATCCTAGCTTTTTACTTTCACCTTGTTCCCATCGGTCCTTGTTTAGATCTTCCTAGTTCTAAGTTTACCAACATTTCTCCATCTTCACATCCAATATCTCTGTACCTACCAAAATTACAAAGAGAGAGAACAGGGAGACAGCAAATTCAATCCGATGGCGGAAGTGGCATTGGCTAGCTTACGATTGGCAGCATCACCGATCCTGAACAAGCTCCTCGCTGACGCTTCAACATACCTTGGAGTGGACATGGCGAGTGAGCTCCGTGAACTGGAGACCAGCATCATGCCGCAGTTCGAGCTGTTGATTGAAGAAGCTGAGAAGGGCAACCACAGGGCCAAGCTGGACAAATGGATACGGGAGCTCAAAGAAGCCTTGTACAATGCCGAGGACCTGCTGGATGAGCATGAGTACGACATCCTCAAGCGCAAGGTGAAGAACGGAGGCGAGGATCCTTCTCCAGATCTAGAGCATGCCTCCTCCATCGGTTCCATCATTAAGAAACCTATGCGCGCAGCATCAAGCAGCTTGTCCAATCTGCGACCGAAGAACATAAAGCTTGTACGCCAGCTGAAGGAGCTCAAGGCCATCCTAGCGAAAGCAAGGGACTTCCGTGAAATGCTTGGCTTACCGGCTGGTAGCAGTGTAGAGGGGGCACAAACTGGACATACAAAAACAGTGGTCGTTACTGCAGCGACATCAACCCCACCACCAAAGGTGTTTGGTCGCGACGCGGACCGCGATCGCATTGTTGATCTTCTTACCCAACACAAGACTTGTGCTGAGGCTAGCCGTTTCGTTGTCTCCATTGTTGGACCTGGAGGCATGGGGAAATCCACCTTGGCTCAGTATGTTTACAATGACAAGACGATACAAGAACATTTTGACGTCACGATGTGGGTTTGCATCTCACGCAAACTTGATGTCCATCGTCATACAAGGGAGATCATCGAGTCTGCAACAAAAGAGAAGTGTCAAAGGGTTGGTAATATGGACGTTCTCCAGTACAAACTAAAAGAAATACTGCAGAAAAAAGAGAAAGTCCTGCTTGTGTTGGACGACATTTGGTTCGATAAATCCCAGGACGTTGAGGAATGGGACCTGCTACTTGCTCCCATACTATCTTCTCAGAATGGGGCAACCAAAGTTCTGGTAACTTCTCGATCTAAGACACTTCCACCTGCTCTTTTCTCTGAAGATGTCATTGATTTGGAAAATATGAAAGATACTGAGTTCCAGGCACTCTTCAAACACCATGCTTTCTCTGGAGCCACAATTCGAGACCTCCAGATGTGTGGCTGGTTCGAAGAGCATGCAGTGAAGATTACTGAAAGGCTTGGAAGATCTCCTTTGGCAGCAAAAGTTGTAGGTTCCAACTTGAAAAGGGTGATGAATATCGATGATTGGAAAGGTGCTCTCACTATAAAGATAGACAATTTAAGTGAACCTAAGAGAGCTCTGTTGTGGAGTTATCAGAAATTAGATCCATGTCTTCAGAGATGCTTTCTGTATTGCAGTTTATTTCCAAAAGGTTACAAATACATAATTGACGAGTTGGTTCACCTTTGGGTTGCAGAGGGATTTATTGATGCACGTGATACGAATAAAAGAATGGAAGATACCGGCATGGATTACTTCAAAGAGATGGTCTCTGGATCCTTTTTCCAACCATTTTCTGAAAGATTTGATAGTACGGTGTACATTATGCATGACCTCCTTCATGATTTGGCAGAGTCACTCTCTAGAGAAGACTGCTTCAGATTAGAAGATGACAAGGTGAGAGAAATACCATGCACTGTTCGGCATTTATCTGTTCGTGTTGAGAGTATTATACAACATAAGCCAAGTGTCTGCAAGCTACAACATTTGCGAACTCTTATCTGCATTGACCCACTAGTGGATGTTGGGAGCAATATTTTCGAGCAGGTAGTATTGAATCTGAAGAAGTTACAAGTACTTTATTTGTCGTTTTACAACACTAGAAAGTTGCCAGAATCAATCGGTCAGCTAAAGCATCTTCGGTATTTGAACATCAAGAAGACATTGATTTCTGAACTACCAAAATCATTATGCGATCTTTACCATTTAGAGTTACTTTATTTGCGTCCGAAATCGAGGTTACCTGACAAACTCTGCAATTTATGTAAGTTACGACATCTTCAAATGTACTCTGATGGATTGGAGCTGTCACGGATTCCTGACATAGGCCGGCTAACTTTGCTTCAACGTATTGATAGTTTTCACGTCCTAAAACAGAAGGGACATGAGTTGCGACAGCTCAGGAACATGAACGAAATTGGTGGGTATTTATCGCTCAGAAATCTTGAGAATGTGATTGGCAAGGATGAAGCTTTAGAGTCGAAGCTGTATCAGAAAAGTCGTCTTGAAGGATTGACGCTTGAGTGGAATGATGCGAATAACATGAATCCAGAGAATTGTTTACATGTTGAGATTCTTGAAGGCCTCGTGCCACCACCACAGTTGGAGCACTTATCAATTAGAGGTTACAAATCGACTACCTATCCAAGCTGGTTACTCGAGGGTTCCCAGCTTGAGAATCTAGAATCCTTTGCTCTTTATAACTGCAGCGCTTTAGAAAGGCTACCATCCAATACCAAGCTCTTTAGGCGTTGCCGTGAATTGAGCCTTAAGAATCTCCCGAATATGAAGGAACTATCATTTCTTCCAGCAGGTCTCACAACGTTGTCAATTCGTAGGTGCCCACTGCTTCTCTTCGTTACCAATGATGAACTGGAGTATCATGATCATAGTGAGCATATCCACTAGGACAGAGCAACTGGTTGCACAATTTGCTTTGGTTGGGGTGATGGGCCCATTTTTAGATGCACTGTCATCGGATCATTCATCTATGAAGCAGTTGGCAGCATTGATGGACTCTGATATATCAAAAAATCTTCAAACCATTGAACGCGCTCTAGAAAGAGAAGATGAAGTAGTGATGACCAAGGATGTCATCAAGGCATGGATGCGTTGCCACGAGCAGAGGATGAGACTCATTTATGCAAGGAGGATTGGGCTACCATTGGTCCCACCGTCAGGACTTAGTGATCTCTCCCTTAAATCATGCACAATTACAGATACAGCTCTATCCATATGCCTTGGTGGCCTAGCTTCTCTGAGATGTTTGTCCTTATCCAAGATCATGTCTTTAACTACTCTTCCGTCAGAAGAGGTCCTGAAAAAATTGACAAAGCTTGATTGTTTGATCATTGATGCCTGCTTGTTTCTCGGATCGTTGGGGGGCTTGCGAGCTGCTACTTCCCTTTCGCATTTAAGGTTGAACTCTTGCCCTGCTTTAGAGTTGGCACACGGTGCAGAATTCATGCCAGCGTCCCTTAAGAGACTCGCAATAAGTTGTTGTGTGCTTGCACCCGACTTGTTCTGTGGCCACTGGCCGCATCTGAAAGATATTTTCATACACGACTGCAGAAGCTCTGTGTCGTTGTTTGTTGGTGATCTTAGCTCCCTGAAAGAATTCACACTTTATCATTTGCCAGATTTATGTGTGCTTGAAGGCCTGTCTTCCCTTCAACTTCACAGCGTGTGTTTGGTAGATATCCCGAAGCTTACTGCTGAGTGTGTGTCAAAGTTTCGTGTCCAGGATTTACTGCATGTTAGCAGCTCTGCGGTGTTGAACAACATCATCTCGGCTGAAGGTATCACAGTTCAGCGTCTCTCATCCTTCAAAGGTGCAAGGAGCCATCCGTTTCATTTGAAGAAACTATAAATTCCTCATCTGTCAAGCAGCTGCGATTAGAAAGTTGTCAAATGAGTTCCCTGCAGGGAAATCTGAAGTGCCTCTCCAGACTGGAGGAACTTGACATCTTCAGTTGCCCCAATATATCATGTTTGCCAGATCTCCCATCCTCCCTTCAGCGCATATCCATAGTGGACTGCCCCAATATATCATCTTTGCCAGATCTCCCATCCTCCCTGCAGCACATATACATACGTGACTGTCCACTACTGAAGGAGAGCTGTAGAGTACCCGATGGGGAAAGCTGGCCAAAGATTGCGCATATTCGTTGGAAGCGTATTGACTGAATTATGCTTCAGATTCACAAGAACAAAGGAACAGAAAGGTAACGGTTTCATCAATGCATTATGAAAATATAAATTTATGCAAGATCATTTCCATCCATTATTGTTCGTCTAAATACTTCTTTCGGTTACCAGTTAAATCGCTCTCTTGTCCTCTGGCAGTGCTGTTCCTTCGCCCCCTGCATTGCAGACCTCCAGAGTCTCACACAGCTGTTTGGCTATGAACGAGAGGGACCGGTTCGTATTGACTGATCGGTCTGAGCTTCTTCTTCTTATTCTTGTGTGGTTGCATTTCGCTGGCTGCTGGCTATGGTCTATATGCCTATGGACTATTACCGAGATGTATCTGTGTATTTGGATCTTGCTCTGTTATGTTTCCTGTTTGTTCTTTTGGACTGAATTGCTTGTAGTAGCTGTTATCTATGGTGTGCAACGTCTACTGTATTACTGCACCGGTGAAGCTTTGTATGGGAGTACCATGGTGCTTTTGAACTCAGGCTACTGTTATCCTCTCTTGGAGTGTTTCCTTTTGGACTTGGTTTCTATTGAGTATTGACTGTAAGCCTGTAACTATTATCTCTTGTATGATGAGATGCAAGATAAGGCAAACCTGCAATAGCTCTAGTCAACTTGGCCTTGCATTGCTGATGACCTGATGGAAATCGTTTTATTTTACCCATTCGTTCTAAACTGTATATTGTAGTCACGGGTTTCCTGTATATTTGAGGCCAATTTTTCTAGACTAGCTGAAGACCAATTAAGTCTCTTTTATCCTCATGTAGCTTTGAGATCTTGAAAGGATGGAAAATATGTAGTGCAAACCACATATGTGGTGTAAATCTAGAATATACCGTCGGATCTAAAAATGGACGTACGAGATTTGGTCATGTCACCAAAGGTAAAAATTTTATTCCTAGATTAACCATAAGTAAAACTTTAAATGGAAGTAAAATTTTTACTCTTGACATGAACTCGGACATCTATTTTTTTATTCAACGGTAGTTTTTCCAGGGTTCCATCACATATGTTTGCAATACATTTATTTTCCAAGAGTGGCAATTATATGTTTGCAATACATTTATTTTCCAATAGTGGCAATTATGATGAAAGGGAAAGGAGTAACGGGTTATTACTGCTGTCACGTAAGTACCATTTTATTTGTTTGTTTTGATGCGCTCGTCACTCTACTGCAAGATATGAGGAAGAGAAGAGACGTGATCCTATTCTAACTGGTGGAGCTTCAGCGATTAAACATGAAATCGAAGTCTGTCACTGTCTCTGTTTAGTGAATGTCTCCTTCAATTTGGCAAGTCTCAAGTGGTTTACCAGTAATTTGGCAATTTCACCGGCTGTTGCTGGGAAGAGTTTTTCCCATGGCAAAAAGCATTATCACTGACTGCCGAGTTAGGCTTGCTGTTGCCAAGTTGTTGGGGTTAGCTTAAGCAAATTCATGTATTTTATTCACCGGATTAGTAAGTGATTAACAATAAGGGTTTGGTTTTCAACAAATCCAGCTCAGCTAAACCTTAAGTAAATGTCATTAAGTACTTAGAAGTTGTTCTTCATTACTAGTATCTGGACAGTAATAAGTACTTAATGATGACCATCTAAGCATACTAAGGTTAGTATCTGGACAGTAATGAAGAACAACTTAATTTAGCAGTAAGTTCTTCATTGCTTAGTATTCCTATACTTAACCATTATCAGTGCATAAGTACTCCACTAAACCATTTAGTACTTATGCTTAGATTTTATTGTACATTATCCAGTGGTGTGGACAACCAGATTAGGCAGTGGTTTAGATTTGGAACTCAATTATCCTCTGGAGTCCCTACTTTCTACAGCATTTCCCTGTTTGCGCACTTTCATGGATGATCCTGCTTCTCCAACATCTTCTGATTTTGATTGTTGTTCAAAAGGATGATTCAATGGCTGCCCCCTCAGGTATTGTTTGGATAATGGGATAGGGAAATGATTTCCCACCTATTAAAAGGTATCTTTAAATCCTAACAATTTATTCTTCCATTTAATCCTAACCCTTCATTCATTTCCCAATCCCAATCCCACCCTCCATTTCCCATTATCCAAACACACCCTTATGGTTTCGACCCTGGATGTCACCTAGGATTTTCGACGAAAAATAAGAGAGTTTAGAGACGAGACGTTTGTTGGTCACTCATAATTAGCAATTGAGTGCCAATGAGTTGCTTCAAACGATATATCAAACGTAGGATTGGATGCAAAAGTGAATGCAAAATTAACGGGAACATAGGCATCGTATCACACACGAGTCAGGGCACTGTCAATCGGGAAAAGCCTCTAATGAATCAACTTGTACAAATTTTCTCAGGAACAGAACTAAAATGAATCAAGAATTCTATACCGAAATTAAAAAAAATAAACAACGGAACTACAAGTTAGATAAAATACTAGAGCACCAGGTATGTCCTGGGTATTCTACTACAAGACAAACGCATCCAGACATCCAGTTCTGCCAAAATGCATCCCAGAAAAAGCACCTCAACTCTAGAACCAACCTTTATTTCTTTTCAGCATCATACCCCCCCCCCCCCCCCACACACACACACACAACAACAACAACAAAACAAAAAAACCACTAAGAAAAGCATCATCTAAAAACATGTTATTTTCAGAAAGAGCAGAGTATATGATTTTAGTAAAAACAATCCTACTAGCTATCAACTTTTTAGAATGATGTAATCTAAGATGTTGCTGCTATGTCTACAAGTCTGGCAGCAAATAAACCAAAAAAAAAAAACATGTTGACTCATAAGGCAACTATTGCTGCTATCTGTAACCTCCAATAAGAAATAAAGGGTTCTTGATCCCTGAGCGAGACATGCCACTTCACATTTCACCTTCCTATTGCTATGATTACTTACATAACAAACTATATAACATCTGGCTCAATGTAGCTACATATTCGGACAGCACGACAAAAATCCACTGGTTAAGTAGCAACCAGATACCAGGACGGCTGGAAACCAATAGCTTCAATAAGTTTTGGGTTTTCGAACTCGTGTACTCCTCCGGGGATCCACAGCCACCAAAACAGTCTTTTCATTCTTCATATTGCCGGGATCTTTCTCAGTTTTAATTTTCTTCGCAAGCACAGGAAGCCCATGTTTCTTATTTGGTTTCTGTCCACGCTTGTCTCCAGAGATGATTTGCTTGGCAACTGGAGCTGTTTCTTGAACTTGTTCATAGTCCACTATGTCTGCACTTGCTTTTTGTACTTTGGAAGGAGGCATAACCAGCTCTGAATGCTCCTCTGGCTTGACCTTCTCAAATAGCTGATAACCTTCTTTGGCTGCTTGATTATCTATGAGGACATCATCAGCGCTCTGCAAAGATAACCAAACCATCAAATGAAAAGGTTTTTGCAAATATGTTGATCCAGCACGAGTCCCTATTTCTTACAACAGTTTAGGGAGTACACTATTTAGCTTTGATAAATAATTCAGTATAAAAATAGGAATCATTATGATTACGAGGCAATGTCAGATCTATGAAAGATCAGCAAATCATTACAAATGATGGTATCAAGCACATGTATATCGCATATCACACTATCGCCTTGTGACTGTATATCGCAAAGCAGGAAACACCATGACGTTACACAGATCTACTGCATATTCAAGAAAACACCATCATGCTCAGCTTGTTTTTCACCATATACTTCGACATAAAATATTTATAGTTGACTTCTAGAAGATTATGAAGGACTAGAGGTCCCACACCCACACACATGCAACTAGAAATCCTAACATGACATGACGGAGATCTACATGGTTTATTGGATGGGCAAAGAGTTGGTATATCCTATGTTCCTTTTTATTAGGAACCAGCTACTGGTCAAAGTGTTCTTCATACATTAGTTCTAAAATATCGTGTGACAAAATAGAGAAGAATAAGATGCTATAGCTAAACTTACTTCTTTGTATAACTCCCCTACATGGGCATTGGTTAGGAAATTATCTTTACCACAGAACATCTCAATTGTGATTCCATTTAGATCTGATTGTACTGCATCTTCTTGTGCATCATTTTTCTTCATACATTCCAACACACAGTCAGTGGACCTACCAAATACAGGTGGAACCACAGCAAGTGATCTATCTAAGTCATCCTTCTGAAGCAAAGTATGCATACACTTTGTTTTCTGATGAGAACGTCTTCCATCCTTCTTACAACAGGTCATCTGATTCTGAATCTTTTGAGGCACCTTAACCTGTTTACGGTCTAAGCATTGTGACAACTTCTTGTATTTGCTGCGAGCATTGCTGAGGCGACCCTGAAGACTAAGAATTCGGGACTGGACATCATCAACTGTAAGAAGAATCTCTCTTAAAGAATATTGTTCAAATACCCTGTCATTCTCAACTAACGCATCATCAGTGCTTTCGATGTCCTCAACAACTGCGTGAAGAGCGACAAATAGAGAGGATTAGCAACTATTAAGAGGAACAATTCCACATTAAAATATATAAAAGAGTTCAAAAATACACATTTCCTGCCTTTCAGCTTCATTAATATAACATCGTGCACAATCAATCCCCAAAAGATAGAAAAGTACCATAAAAGATAAACTAAAAGAGATAAACAAACTAAATGTGACAGAAACTCAGTCTGATATCAAGTTCGATGGCTGCTCCGATAGATACTGTATACAGAAACAATTTTACCCAACCAATTTTTGCAGGTATGCAGCTTGCACGCAAGCCTGCAACTCTAGCATCCCGAGGAACAGGCTAAACGTGTGCTTTAGAAAAACTGAAATTTTAACAGTACAGGCATACTGAATTCAGACCCCAAAACAATGCACAGTGCGATAATCTGACCACTGACAAAAAAAAAGGGGCAAAAGCACGTACGTTAATGCTCTAACAACCACTTGCATTTCAGATTGAAGAGTGACTGCAACAAAAATTATATTTTCTCCTTCTAAACTACAGAAAATAATCTTGAGCACACAGGCACAACCATGTAACTTACCTGAACTGTCAAAACCACCATTAACCAAGGGACCATCCGTTTGAACTCCACTGTTTTTGTTTTCTGCAAAAGATCAAGAGTCTTCGTTACAGTCAAGTATAAACACGAACCCCATGCAAAATATGATACTCATTCAAGACAACAATTTTCTCTAGCCCTATAAAACAAGGACAGGATGTCGAACCATAATAAGACAGTGCGGGGTGCCTCTTCAAGTACAATGAGGTATCTACAGTGTCTTCATCTCTTTTCCTTTTTCTTCTCTTCATGATAATTCTCTCATGACTTTGGGGATATAGTTTTCCCGGTTCTGATTTAGGACCATCTGCTTTAACCATCTCCAACTGCAGATCTTTTTCATGATTGATAATAGCAAGTTCCCTGTCATACTTTGCTACCTGTGATAAGAGATTCTTCATATGCAACTCCAACCATTGGCATCGCCACATTATTGGCCCAACAATCTTTCTCCACTCGGCTGTCACCTGTCTCCGTCTGAAACAAAATTAATCTGATTACAAGCTACGACACACACATAGCATTTATCAAAAGCGAAAAGGAACACAAGATGTAAATGTTCTCTTTTAATTCCGTTCGAACAACACTACAACACCATGCTAACCACGTCAATACGATTTCAAGAATCAACGGTCTGCAAGGACCTCATGAAGAGATGATGCTCACCTGACCATCCTTGGTGCAGAGCTAGCGCGATCCGCACCGGTACGGGTTGGACCAAGAAACGGCGAATCCACCTCCATGCCATCCATCTCCGACTTCGTGTCGTCGTCATCATCATCGGACGACGCGGAGCAAGAGGGCCCGAACGAGCTCGAGCACTCCGTGCTGTCACCATGGTCGTCACCTTCATCAGGCTGATGAAGGTGAACATTATAATCGGCCATGTTCCCAAAAGAGCCAAACGTCCCCACCGGATCACCACTGACAGTGACACGCACAGCAGAGGGGAGCGCGCGGTCCTCGCAGCTGTTCCCACCAAGAGCCTTGGACTGATCCGTGACATCACGTGCCTTGTCATCCGCGCCATTGCCGTTGCCACCCATCCCCGCAGCCGCTGCCATTGCCAGGGAAGGAGAAAAACCCAAAACCTCCCCCCTCTCCTCCTCCTCCTCCTCCAAGTCTAATCAACACAAAGCTAGATCACAAAATTTCATTCACAAACACAATCCTCCATTAGTACCACACAAACAACGCATCAAATAAATCAGTAACAAGAAAAAGTTGGACCGATTAATCCGAGGGAAAAATAAACAGACCGACCGATTAATCCCTTGCCCCCCAATCTACGCCACGCGGCGGATCATCCAAGCGGAACGGAGGAAGAGAATGAGGCGTACCTTCGATCCGATCCGACCGGAGATGGCGGGGGGAGCACCGCGCCGCACCGCACCGCACCGGCCGCGCGCGTCACCCCCCTCCCCTCCCCTCCCTCCAACCCCACCGCCTTGGCCAATCCGCACACGGGAAAGTCGTCGTCGTCGGCGGCGGCGTCGGCGTCGTCTTGGGCGAGGTCGTCCACGCCGATGGCCAACGCCGGCCTCCCTCCTCGCCGGCTGCTCCCTCACTCCGGCCTCCGGCAGATGGGAACAACAGAGAGAGTTTGGAGATAGAGAAAAATGAGAAATACTACTTTTCACAGTCAAATAGACGGGGAGAGATTTTTTTTTTTTTGCCGTTTATACGTTTACATGTTTCAAAATAAAGTTGTGAAAGGGTATATGAGGGGGAGAGATCAGATCATTAGAGATAAAGCTTTGGAACTCCTTTATTATGTGTCACAGTTGAAGCTTTTCCTATATTGTAGAAGAACACTAAAAATAGGGTGTGGATCTTGATTTTATCCAATGTGAACATGTTACAGTGGGCTACTGTAATTGTAATCGCCACCACATGTTAATGATTTTTCTATAAAAACCAAGCTTTACCATGTTTGTTTGTGTTAAAAGAGAAAAGGAATTCTCCTTGTTCCATAATATATTTTTTTTTATCATGAGACAGTACTTTATTATCTACATATCCATTTTATTATTAGTTTATTCCCCATCATCTATTTTTTATTAGTTTATTTTCCCACCTATCAATTTTTTACTACTTTATTGTTTCATCTATCACCTTTTGTACATTATTTTTCTTCGACTACTTCCTCCATTTCTTTTAAGAAAATTGGTTTAGTCCCTTATAATATGGGATGGTTGAAGTGTACCATTGTAAGATACTAATATTTGTTTTTAGATAGAGATGAAAGAAATCATTTTATAGGCTCCTCTAGATACAAGCATATTAAACCATATAATTTTAAATATAAAATAGTGTGGACTTGTAACGATTTTTCCTTTTGTTTATATTATGTTGGAAAACACGGTCATTCTTTTATGAGAATGGTATCACTTATTGGCACATACACAAAATGATAAAGATGAAAAAGTGTATGGAAGTTCCAAAACAACTTATATTTAGCACAGAAACCTAGTCAGAGGAAAGAATATAAATTTCAAGATTAAAATTAGACACACCATTCTAACATAGATGAAATTTAGTTTATAACAATTATTCAAGGGCACAAAAAATGAGTTAAACATTACGAAGTTGATAAGTTGTTTTAAAAAGGTTTTTCTAAGAAAGATTGATGGATATTTTTTTCTTGGAAATAGTAAAATTTAGGATCTTCGGAAGTGTGCCTAGTCCATAGTATATAAGCTACCAAGAACATACCAGAAAGTCCAATAATAGGTAGCTGGAAATTGAATTCAACATGATTATACGTAGCCAATTAAAGCCATTATAATGCCAACATATAACACATTGTCTTTTTTATAATTTCCTACATATTTTGTATTTTTGACTTAACAACCTTCGATAGAACAAAGTTACTATTTTCTAGTAGTGCATTAACATCTTCACAAAAGATCCATCAATAATTTTTATCTTCACTGAGTTTGTGCACTATTTTAGTTTGTTTTGCTCCTGCTCTGCCGATGAGATTATTAGACATAGTATCAATACAATACAATGCAATGAAGTAATGCAATACAACACAACACAATGCAATTCAATACAATAAGAGAGAGAGAGAGAGAGAATGAGAAATAGATGGAGAGAACAGGGAAGGTAGAGAGTGTGAAATAGATGAAGGGGTATTTGGTAAGATGCCATTTCCATTACACACATTTCCGTTCAAACTAAGTTGTGAAAGAGTCCCAAAGATAGGGAGAGAGAAATAGATGGAGAGAAACGAGAGAGAGAGAATGAGAATGAGAAATAGCTAAATAGATGGAGGGGGAGAAGCATTTGATGATTTTTGTCATTTCTGTTACACATGTCCTCGTTCAAACTGAAGTTGTAAAATTAGAGGGACCATCCCACATGACCCACACACTAAAATTAGAGAGTATGTAAGTCCTAGGGTAGGTGGCTTGGGTTAGATAAAATTGAATTCAACATGATTACACATAGCCAATTAAAATAAACAGTATTAAACATGGCAACTTGCTTGTTGTCACTTTTATAAATTTCCTATTTTTGACTTAACAATTTTCTCTTTGCTAAGTTTTTGCCCAATTTTGTTTTAGTTTGCTCCTACTCCAACTATGGCAGTTACGGGAACAATAGACATAGATAGTACCGATACAATCCAATAATGAGTTCAAGTTCCTCCAACTTAACGTATCTCTTAATCTCTTTCCTATTACCTTGGTCCTCATTAGATAATACAAGCAGCAACATATATAATGGTATGATTCTACATATCAATCTACTATCTGTGTTATTCTGTTTTCAAATGTATGCTGGATGAATGCACTTTTATATGCAGGAATGATGAAGCAAATGGTCACATCAAACTTACACTAGCAAATAGGGTTTATATATGTCAAGATGAAATCATGTGTACCGCATTTTTTTTGCAAAATAAATAAATAAAATGCATATTAGTAATCCAACTAGAACTAACAAATTCTGTTGATGAGTTATTAATTCTGTTTCTTCCCTTGATTTCTTATAAAAGCAATGTGTATTTCTTATTTGTCCATCGCAGATGAATTTAGATATGGAATATTAAGTGTGCTCATCTAGGATATCCTTATAGAATGCATATGGATTCTATAGGATATCCTAGATGAAAATAACCCAAAAAAGATGCAATTTTCTGACCTTTGATTCGTGTGGAGATCCCTACTCGAGTTATCACCATCTGCTCTGTGCTGCCTTCATCTTCTTTTATTGACATTTGGACTTAGGTTCAGCATTGGAGTTGAGGGTGGTAGGTTCTAGATCTAAAGAGAGATTGGAGTGATAATGATGATTTAGAGAGAAGTCGGAGAGGAGTTTCTGCTAACGAAAGCCATGTGTGATGAATTGGCAATGAGTTTGGTTGGAGACTAGGCGAGAGATGCCAATTGGTTAGAGGTGACGACAAATCAATGGAGATAACCACTAAAGACGGGGAAGAATAGCACAACTAAACCAATTTCCCCAAAGAAAATAAAGAGCTCCACCAATAGAAAACATGTGGTTGGAAGGGGAACATAAGGGTGGTGGGAAGTGGCAAAGGGAGGCCGATGGGAGCTTCCTGCCATTAGACCAATGTTAGTAAGCAGCAAGGTGAAGGGCCACGGTCAGCGATGGCGGCTATGAGGTGGGAGGTGGAGGTTGATAGGGTTTGGGAAGGAGAGAGACGGATATTATATATATATATATATATATATATATATCATTTTGCAAGGATTAGAGACGGTGGATTTGACATCCAATGGCTAGAAATTTGATGGCTCCTCTTCTAAAAACAGAAAGGGATTTGTTTCCTTTTGCCACTCATTATAAATGTATTATCACTTTTGCCACTGAAAATTTGCAGTTCTCTTTGACCATCCTCCTTAGTATGTATTTCTATTTTTTTTTATCACTGTGTAATGTTGTTGACCAATGACCATCAAGTTTGCAACTAAAAGGTTGTTACGCCCTTGTAGATGTTTCACGAAAAATATTGAACTCTAAACAAGAACCATAAAAAATATTAAGAAAACTAATTATGGCCACTTAGAATATATTAATTTTAATAAAGAACAAAATGAAAATTATATTATTTTTTTTAAAAAATCCACCATGGGAATGTTCCACCCAAAATATCTATACTAGAGAATTATGTGCATTGCTATTTATTTTTTTATACTATAGAATTACAAAAGGGTCCTTAGGAACATACAATATTACAAACAAACCCTTGTAAAATGCTATGGGCTAATCCGAGACATACCGATTTTCCCAACGAGGAGATGTTAGAAACTAGGGTCAAAATTATTGCAAAGCAAATTACACGTATGGAACACCCACTTCTATATAAACGATTTTTCTATATAAGGATACCTATAGGTTACAGACGGGCTATAACTGATCGCATCTGCAAAAATCAACTTGTGTTTTCGCATCCAGCTCCTTAAAAGACCCGTATACGGAAATACATTTCTGCAAGTGGACACCTATTTTCTCATTCGGGCCTATTAAGAGGTCCACCTGCGAAAAGTCCAGCCTACCTCCCTCTACCTTAAAAATTCTACCCACTCCCTCATTCTCTCTCCTTATCCTCTCCATTCTTATCCACTCCAGCCTCTCCACTCCTCCCACATCCTCTCCTTCATTCTTATCCTCCTCTCCTAAGCCACGGTGGTAGGCTCGAGAGTAGTGGTGGCGGGTAGGAGTAGTGTTGGCGGGCTCGAGCGCACCGGCAGCGAGCGGGAGTGGCTCCCTTCGGGCTCGGGAAGGGCGGGTCCAGAGCTTGATGGAGGAGGTGAGGGGCGACGATAGCAGCGGCAGAGCCATCCCCTGCGCTGGTCCGACGGTGGCACTAGAAGGTGCCCGGCAAAGGAGGCGACGACACACCTAGCTAGGTTTTTCTTAAGGATTTTTATTTTTTTTCGAATATCTTTTTTGCGTGCAGTGCGGACGACATAATCATCTGCACGCGAAAATCAGAATTTTCGCATACGGGTGCGCCACCCGCACATAAAAATAACGATTTTCTCAGATACTTTCAGACATAAGGATGGCCTACCCGCACGGAAAATAGGTTTTGACCATAGGGAAAAACATCTTCCACTACTAGAGTGGATTGAATCAATCACCATCGTAAGAAGGATTAAGGGCACCCACAATGGTTATCTATAGGCTCTCTACAAGAGATCCATGTCAGCATATTTTCCTACTTGGAAAAGATTAAATGAAGAGAGATAACAAAGCTATCTACTAACCTGGAGATAGTTTATAAAGAAAAACGAGGCAATGCATGAGAGAGCTATAGATACCCACGTAAACATACTATTGCTGTGGTTTACTATTAATCTAGTCTATTGCTGAGATGTACATGTTTTATAGAGAGCACCTTACTTTACCATTGCGGGTGCTCTAAGGAAGATGGACACTCCATCACTACCACGAGAAGGAGATGGACACCGAAACTAGTACCGAAGTTCTCTGAGGCAACGCCACATGGCTTACTTTGAGGCAACACCATGTGGCTCTGTTCGTTTGCACGGTATGGGAAAAGTAAGCCTTGTGTGACGTGAGCGCACTTCCCTAACTGTAAACCATTTTACCTAGAAGTTTTTTCAAAAATCTATTTTTAAAGTTTTACAATAATTAATACTTAATTAATCATACACAATAACCCACCGTTTTTTTCAACGAATAGCCCAAGCAAATATTTGGATTGAAGGAAGCCTAGCCTATTGGTGAGGGAGTAGAATCAGAAAAGGATTGAACCGAAAAGGCGAAAAGACTGAGACCGAGAAATCCAGTCCTAAACAGTGAAAGACTGAATTTTGTTTGATCCATTCGGTTAGTCTCTCCGTTAACCCAAAAATGAAAAGACCGAATTAAAAATCTCCAATATGATTAAACTCTAATTTTCACATCCCTACTCCTTATAGGCATGCATCCCAATAAGAGTCTTTACTGAGACGTGCTTAGAATTTTTTTGTGATTTTTGTGTTGAAAAATTATATGATTTATTTGTATATATGAAACGGTTGTTGAATTTCGGTCAGAACCGAGACCGAATTTGCCGGTCCTAGCATTTTTGTGTTGAAATTCGGTCTTCATTTTTCAATAATTGAACTGACCGAAAGACCGAAAACCGAAGACCGAGATCAAAATTTTTGGTCTAACCGAATGCCCACCCTTACCCCCTCCCCCTAGCGTGTTGCCAGAGAGCCACCAAAAATGGAGGGGAAGAGGGACCAGTGTGTGAAGGAGGTTCCCCGTCTTCCGTGTCTTAGGAAAGCTAAAATTTTCACCCACCATTCGTCTTGGAATTTTTACATTTTGAAAACTTATTTGAACATATACCCTTGAAAAAAACTTATTTCAGGAGTAGACCCTTTTTCTCGGGTTCAGGGTTATTGGCTCCGAGATTCAATGTCTCGGCACACATCCTAGCCCCTGTGATAGCTAAGTCGCTGATATGAAAGGGGCCGGCGCTAAACTCTTTGGCGCCGAGGACCTATTTATAAAGAAAATTCAAAAAGAGTTAAAATCTAAATATTTTTCTTATAAATAGGTCCTCAACACCAAAGATATTGATATCAGGCCTATTTGTGATAAAAAAATATGTACATTTTGACTCTTTTCAAAAAATATTTTACAAACAAGTCATCAACGCCATAATGTTGGGCACTGACCCCTCTATGTCTTGGCCTCTCGGGTGTGAGGGGGACGGCGCCAATGCCCAACATCATTATACTTCGGCGCTAGGTTCATTGGTACCTATAAAATAATCCATTTCTGGAATAAGTTTTCTAATGATCTATTTATAAAATAAGTTCTTAAAAGGGGCCAAAACATAAAAAATCCAGACCATTTGTCACCAAACTCGTAGAAGCACCGTTACCCAGACAGCCCTGTCCCACCCTCTCTTGATAGCAGAAAATTTCTCCCGATTAGAAACAGACCCTGATTGGATCCAGAGGGCTAATAATTAGCCCTCCAAAATCTTATTATTTAGGAGTACTTAACGCAGATTACTGACAAAACTCATTTCATAACCCCTGGGTTAATTCGCATGACAAATCTAAGAAGGTATGTTAATCCATGATTAGCGGATGATTACTGTAGCAAAACATGGATTAATTAGGCTTACTAGATTCGGCTTGCAAATTAGCCTAAGGATTATAGAATGGGTTTGGTTAGTAATCTACGTTTAATACTCTTAAATAATAAGAATTTGGAGGGCTAATTATTAGCCCTCCGATCCAAACAGGGCCAAAACCTACAACAGTTCCATGTAAATTTTCTTTAGAGATTCATTGACCGTGATTTCTTTCACCTAAATCATCTGCGAAAACGAATTATAATTCCCCCCGGAGTTAAGCAAACCGAAACGTCATTGCTTCATACTCGTACGTTCTACTTCCTCCCAAAACTTCCATGGGACTCTAGCCCCGGTCCGCCCCTGGATACGGCACACAGAATGACAGAAAGGTACTACTAGTAATTTGTCATACCATACAATAATATACAAGAACCAACATGATAAGTTTCTGTCCGTCAGATGGTGACCGAGCGGCTGCCACGCCAACGCAATGGATAAAACAAATGCCTCTGCGTCGCCATTTTGCAGCATCATCAGCTCCAACGCTCCATGCAGCAGGCAGGCAAGTAGCCGGCAGTGAATCAGTCCCGAAAAGGCAGGAGAATCAACAGCCATACACTATCTCATAAACTAATCTTATACCATGCTACAAAGTACACACTGGCTATCCAAAAAAATTGTATGTTACACACTCCCTCTTTCTATATCAGGTAAACCGTCAGGCAATTGAGCGTTCCCTAGAGTTTGGTTCAAAGGCGGGCAACTATCTCCTGCGGTTCGGAGAGGACTCAGCTGTTAGTACTTCCACAGTTCCACTGCCATTACCCATTAGTTTAGGGGGAAAAAAAGAGCAACAAGTGGCTGTCATTGCCAAGTTGCCATTGATAATATCATAAAAAATTAAGCCCTTTCTGCAGGCTGCAAGCTACTACTACAATATTCAGAAAGGAGAGGCATGCATGATTGACAGTGTGTATGACAGTATGAGTGAGGTTAGTTGCCTCTGAGTAGCCAAAGATTAGGTATATGAACTAGATCGATGATAAGTTTAAATCCAATCAGGAAAGGGCAAGCAAAGCATTTTCAGGTTGTATCAGAACTAAGGCTAGAGAGCAAGAACCTTGCAAATTCTACTTCATGAAGATAATAAAGCTGAAGGAGGTTGCAGTGCATGTACAACAATCAGGTCTACTGCAAATCAGCAGCAAGCAAGAACAGTTGATGCAAGTTCTGAATCCCCAGCTCATCAGCAAGTAGAGAGCGTAACCGAGTCACTGCCTAATATCAAATACAACATCAACCTGCATCATAACTGTGTTCTTGTGCAAATCATCAGAAGTTACACTCTTAATCGATCGCGCCGAATCGCGCTGAGAATTCGCTCGACGGAAGCGCGGTAATCGCGTTATTAAGCTAGCTTAAGCATCATCTGATTCATCTCTAACAAGACAAAGAGATGCATATCACATCACATCAGCCCTGCATAATCTCCAGAGGTGATGATCTGATACCCACATTGCTAGTAGTATATACACATGGAGTAATTATCACAAGCACAAGTAAAGGTTTGCTTGGCATTCTTGGCAATGGCGGCCATGGCTGCACATCCATGAGAGAGCAAAAGCAGTAGAGTGGGCATACCGAACCATGGGTGTGGGTGTCGCAGTCAGGAGTAGAGGGGGCGCTCGGTCCAGGCGCCGGCGACGTGGCCGTTCTCGCAGACGTAGGCGCGGACGACGGGCTCGCCGTCGTCGTGGTAGCCGTAGAAGCTGCGGAGGCAGAAGGCGGCGTAGAGGTCCCAGGCCTCGGTGCAGCCGCAGAAGGCGCAGTCGACGGCGACGGTGGGGCGGCGGGTGTCCCGCAGGGCGCGGCGCACCTGGGACCTCGGGAAGTCGTGGAACACGCCGCGGAACACCATGTACTTGCGGCGCTCCTCGGCGTGGACGCACCCGGGCCAGTCGCAGATGTAGAGGCGGTCGCCGCGGAACCTGCTCGCCAGCAGCTTGTTCCCTTGCTCCCTGCTCAGCGTCCACGACCCGGACGCCAGGTGCGCCCCCACCGTCCCCAGCCACCGCCGCGCCCGCCTCCTGCTCCCCGACGCCACCCCTCGCCGCGCCGCGGCGGGGGCGGGGGTCGCAGCCGTGTTTGAGATCTGCGCCGCCTCGGAGGGGGAGCAGTCGTAGGCGGTGTCGAGGTAGAGGTCGTCGTAGAGCGACCACGTAGTGGCGGCGGCGGCGGAGGAGGAGGAGGAGTCGGGGGGTGGGGCGGGGGCGGAGGTAGCGGTGGAGGCGTGGTCGAGGGAGGAGGAGGAAGGGGAGGGGGCGGGGACGGAGAGGTCGGGGCCGATGTCGAGCTCGAGGCCGAAGTCATCGGAGGGCTCGAGGAGGACGCCGGCGCGGAGGAGGCCCGGGCAGCAGACGGAGAGCTTGTGGAGCGCGGCCCACGCCCTGGGCGCGCCGTCGGGGGACGGCGGCGGGAGGAGCTCGGCGGGGAGCGCCCGCGTCAGGCGCGGCGGGAGGCACGCCGCCCTGAGCAGCGCGGCGAGCCGCGGCGACGCGCACGACGCCCTCGCCCAGTCCCGCGGGTCCCCCTCCAGCCTCCCCAGGATCTGCAGCAGCACGTCGTCCGCCAGCACCGACAGCGGCGACGGCGAGCCCCCCTCCGCCACCGCCTTCCTCTTCCCGCCTCCGCCGCCGCCCCGCGACGCCGCGTCCTCGTCGGCGCTCATGGCGTTCGTTCTCCAACTTTCCCGGCGCGACGAAGCTTTTTTATTTTTATTTTTATTTTATTTTGGGGTGCATAAAAATGAAATTGGTTTGGGTTTTGGATCGCGGTGGAGAAGAGAGCGGTGGTGGAAGTGGAAAAGGTGGTTGGATATTTTTTTTTTTTTGTGGAGGCGATGTAATGTTGGGGGGATGATGCATTCTGTCCATGGATTGTTTATTATTTGTTGGGGGAAGAGAACGTGTGGATGGAGTTCGTGCGTGTGGCGCTAATCACTAGTGCCTGCAAATGATGAGAGAAGCGGATCCCTGTTGCGCCGCTCTAAATATTCACTAAAAATAATACTAATGAGTAAAATGCGACACATGTAACTAAATTTATTCATCTATGTCATTTAACATGTTAAAATATATAACATGGTAAAGTGTATTATTCCGACTCCAAATTACCACGACCCCTCTACGATCCTACGTGATGCTTACATATCGTGCCACGTGGATACTAAAATAACATGTCACATGAACATTTCAGATCCAAACTTTCTTTTTTTTTCCTCCACTACATTTTATTCTTTTTTTTCCCTCTTTTTCCCACATCAAAAGAAAGGAAGAACAGAAAAAATGGAGAAAAAGATAAATAAAATGAGTCAACACCCATGTAGCATGTCACGTGAGCACCATGTAAGATCTCAGAGGGATCATGAAAATTTAGAACCTTAATAATACACTTTAACAAGTTCAAGTATCTAAAAATGTATTTTTTAGAGTTTGGGGACCTGGATGACATGAGCGAACTAAGTTTAGGGACCGGCATTGCACTTTACTCAAAAAATAAGCTCTATAAGCATACTGGTAGCACTAAATTATATCAACATACGCGAATAAGAAAAACAACATATTTACAGATGAAAAATAATTTGTGAATAAAACTTTTATATTCGTGTTCTTAGCAACCTAAAAGCAAAGGCTGAAAAATAAACTTCGATGAAAAAAAAAACTCAAAATCAGCTTCAAATTTAAGGTTGAAAATTCAAATTTTGACTGATAAACATAAGCATAAGCAAAAAGATGAGATCCATAGTACTGTACTAGATACCACCATCTCATCTGGATGAAACTAGGTGATGTCGAATACAGTAGTATTTTAGAACGAATGGTGCATTACCACCCACTCTCCTAGGTAAAAACACATTTGACACGTCATTTAGTAGTCCACTCATATAATAGTTACATATATTTATATACTACACCATTATTAATAAATGGCCAACCTCTTATACATGCATAGACTATACCCTTTGCTAGAGTAGAGACCTGACATGTCTAGGGAAGGTATTTTGGTTTGTTCAAAATATAACAAATGTAAAATTAGATAGTCCAAAGTGAGAGGATTGGTTAAAGGTGATCCAAAGTAAAACTTTCAAAATAAAAACAGCCCGATATGCAATTCACTTTATTTTTAAGTAATTTCTTAGGTAAAAGTTACCATGGAATATAAATAGCAACACTGTAGCAGACTTGAATTCCTGTAGTTGTATGCCTCCACGATGATAGCCGGCTTGGATTCTTTTAGGAGAGGAATAAAAGACATGCCATATGTATTAGTATGGTATTATAAGTATAATTGGATCAAACTACCCTCACATTCTCCCTTACTCCATTACTTTTTTTTACATGAAACAGCTGGAGAGTCGCCTATTGTGCTATAATAATAATAATAATAATAATAATAATAATAATAATAATAATAATAATAATAATAATAATAATAATAATAATAATAATAATAATAATAGGGGTTTACGTACAGGACGAAAGAAAAGAAACAGAAAGAAAGAAAAAGAAAAAGAAACGAAATTACAGAATGCTATCTATCCATGATTACCATAGGGGTTTGTCTACTTCTTTTGCCATGTGCATATGCAAGCCAAATTCAGTCTTAAAGCTGTCCTTCCATTTATCAAAACTGACCGAAATATTGTTGAAGACGTAATCATTTCTTCTGCTCGAAATGTGCCAAGATCCAATTGCAAGCAATTTAATGAAGAATTTGTGATGGAAATTGTTATAGGCAGTTGTGATTATCGACGGGGGATACACGTAGACCGGATACATAGGGTATTGGGTACGTTGGTACGAGGATCTACACAATACGACATCAAGCAAACAAGAAGACAAACATTATACTGGCTAAGGCTCCTCGTAAGGTAATAGCTCTAATCCACTTTATATGAGATTGATATGGAAAACCAAGGATTACAATAGAGAACAGTCGATCTCGAGATTACCAGCGAGACCCTTGTCGAGATGGTTTCGACGAGATCTCCCGGCGAGTAGGCTTCACGTCCTCCGAATTGTAGGCTATGGTGGTGGTATTGGCGCTATGATTCGATGCCATAGGACCCCTCCCAGGGGGTGTGTATTTATACCATGAGTTAACTTTATCTCTAAGTAGAACTCGGAGATACCGAACCCAGCACGATATAGTACAATCCTAATCCTCTTCGAGTAGGACTCTGCTTTTCACTTACCCGTGAGGATTATTTCCATAATCTCTTATTGATTTCCTTATCATATATGAAGATGTATCATACATACGAAGGTATGCCATATCCGTATATTCCATAAGCCGTAGGATAGAAGGTATGCCATATCCGTAACCATGACAGTGATTATATTTATAAATTCTCCTGTCAGATTCCATTGAATTCCAATGTGTTGCCAGCATTGTTGTGCAAAAGGGCAGGAGAAGAATAAATGAAACATGTCTTCATTGAGCGTAGTATGACACATAACACACTTGTCACCACTCTTAATGTTGAAAATTTTCTTTTGAATCATTTCTCTTGTGTTGAGACTGTCCAGTAACATCAGCCAAAGGAACACTTTTAATTTCATAGTACATTTGCTATGCCATATCAGTATCAATGGTTTGTTTGTTGTGATGTGTCCAAAGAACATGTTATAGACCTTTTTTTATTGGTATTGATCAGAGTTCCATAGGTATTTCCATTTATCAGGTTCATTGGTGAGGTCAATGTTTAGAAGATTATTCTCTAGGATGTGCCACTGCTGCATTGCTTGATTTGATAATGGTATGTGAAAATTATGTTTGAACTCATGGATTGATAAGAAGTCTTGTACTGATATGTCTTCATTTTTTGCATATGAGAATAAAATGGAGAACTTATTTTGTAGACAAGAATTGTTCCATTTGTCTTTCCAGAAAAGAGTGGTTTCTCCTGAGCCAATATGTACAAATGTGATTGCCCTGAACAGGGGGGTTAGCCTGAAAATGTCTTTCTACCAAAAGGAGCCTTTTTCTTTATGTGGGGGTATGGTAGAGTGAGAGTAGTATTTATTCCATATCAAGTGTACCCACGACATGTCTTTTTTGTTGTAAAACTTGTCTAGATGTTTGATTAGCAGAGCCGTGTTCTCAAGTTCCAAATTGATAATTCCAAGTCCCCCTTTTTTCTTAGGTTTGCAAACCAGATCCTATGTAGCCAAGCAATGAGTTTTAGTTTCTAGAGTATTGCTTTTTCTCCATAGATAATGTCTTCTTGCTCTGTCAATGTGCTAGATCACTTTCTTTGGAAGATGTAGGATGCACATGTAGTATGTTGGAAACGATGATAAGACTGAGTTAACCATTGTTAATCTTTGACCATGGTTCAAAAAAAGCTGTGGTTGATGGGAGTCTCCTTTCAATTTTGTCAATGAGTGGGGCAAAGTCAATGATTTTTTTTGTTTGGTAGTAACCATTGGGCGGCCCAGGTATGTGAAAGGTAGGGCCCCTATGGTGCATCCAAAGGTTCCAGCCAGGATTTTCAACTTTTGGCTATAAGTGTTGGTAGGGATCATACAAGATTTGTGGAAATTTATTTTTAAACCAGTGCAGAGAGTGTATGTGTTCAACAAGGCTTTGAGACAAAACAGTTCTTTTTGATCAGTTTTCATGATTATCAGAGTATCATCAGCATATTGGATGATTGGAAAGTGAGCGTTTGTCTGCGGAATAGGCATGGAAAGAATACCCAAAGAGTGAGATACGTTACTCCATTACTCCATTCCACTCTAACTTTCAACTTGCTCTCGAAACAGTATGTTAAATTCTTGGATGGAGGGAGCACAATATAAAATATATTATACCCCATAATTTGCTGCGAAAACATGGATAAATGTGTTTTAAATACTTTAGAATGATGGATGCTCATATGTTGAAATATTTCAAAATGATGTGGAATAGTAATTTAACATGCTTGCATATTGAGCTCGAGAATATAATAAATAAATGATAAACTAGATGATGGCCCACACTTTGATGTGAAATTTATGGATAAAAGTATATTAAATATTATAAAAATAATGGATGATTATATGTTAAAATATTTTAGAATGATACTTTGACATACTTACATTGAGCTATAGAATGTAATAATTTATAGGTGATGTGACAAGTTTGCCTGAGATTTAAGATATAATTTCTTCCTCTTCCTGTTTCCCCCTCCACTATCTCCTTCTCTCTCCATAGAGATCCAACGGGGCTCGAGCCCCCCTCCCTCCCCTCCCTCTAAGGCCACGCTGGATCTGTCCCTGCTTATGAGTAACAATTTGATTCAATACTACAATTAGAGTGCCACTATTTTAGCCATACATAACCATATTCTTTGAGAACTTAAATTTTTTTTATAGCTGACTTCACAGAGGTGTGCCTCATCTAGCCCTATCAAGTAGTTGCCAAATGAGGAGTCAAGTAGTTGCCACACAGGGAGAGAAATAATGTCTTTGGTGGTGACTTCGACTCTAACTCATGAACTATAAAAAAAAATAAAGTAATGAAAATAGTTTACATGTAAAACTTTTATGTCTATGTTATTAGCAGTAAGTTAATGTTGAAAAATATACCGCAATGAAAAAAAAGTCAACATTAAGTTCTAGAAATAAAATTTTGGTTATGACACATATATAAGCTAACAATTCAAGCAGAAGATGAGACTCGTTCAAACAATCTGCTTACAACTTAATTATGACTATGAGCATTAAGAGCTACACAATCAAATCGGGCATACGAACCAACGACAGTGCCCTCTTTCTTTTGGCATGCAAATGGAAGGTGGTTCAGACTTTAGAGGTAAGCTAACATGAAGAGCAATTGCTTGTGACAGGGACATTTGGGCTAGCCTCATCTAAGCAC